CAGGCACCTATGATAGTCTATGGTACACATAAAAAGTTATATGACCTGCAGTCACCTATAGACTTTGGTACAGATGAAACGCTTTGGGACCTGCAGGCACCTATGATAGGCTTTGTTGCAGATATATGGTGATGTGACCAGCAGGCACCTAAAATAGGCTATGGTACAGATAAATAGCAGTGTGACCTACAGGCACCCATGATAGGCTATCGTGCAGATAAAAAGTTGTATGACCTACAGGCACTTATGATAGGATATAGTGCAGGTCTGTAGTGAAGTGACCTACAGGCACCTATGATAGACTATGGTGCAGATCTATGGTGATGTGACCTGCAGGCACCTATAATAGGCTAAGGTACAAATAGATAGCAGTGTGACCTGCAGGCATCAATTATAGTCTATGGTACAGATAAATATGATAGGATATAGTGCAGATCTGTAGTGAAGTGACCGACAGGTACATATGAAAGGCTTTGTTGCAGATATATGGTGATGTGACCAGCAGGCAACTAGAATAGGTTATGGTACAGATAAATAATAGTGTGACCTACAGGCATCCATGATAGGCTATGGTGCAGCTAAAAAGTTGTATGACCTACAGGCACAGGGTTTTCATTAAGAGCCGGCACCCGGCGGAATGTCGCCGTGTCAAAAGACGGAAATCGCCGGTTCAAATGCTTAAACAAAAAATATTTTTGAAGAGAGTAAAATAAAAACAAAGTTTTATTAACCTTTTGTCTCATGGAGTTTTTAGTTTCATAGATTTTTCAAAAACGATGGCTTTTCATAACCGACTGGACCATTTTGTCTGACTGAAAGTAAACTTAATGTGACCAGGTGGAATAAGGCATAGATGAATTGAATGCAGAACGTTCAAATACTTTATTATGTATTATAAAGAAGGCAACGGCAGATCTGAAATATACAGATAATGACAAATAAATATAACTTTACAAATAAATGCATATGAATATATCATTTTGTAACAAATAATGTATATTATGTTTAATTACACTATTGCAAATAAATAATAATGCAAAACTAGTTAAATGACAACTCTGAATGTAAACAATTTGTTAATTAATGCTAATGAAAACTGTTCACTAAAGTAAGTTGACCATACGTCTCAATAAAATACTATACAACATTGAAAGTTTATTACAGGTAAAAAAGAAAATATAAAGTTTGAAATACAATTAGCAAAGTAAATGAAACTAAATAAAATATTTAAGACAAAAACTTTTAACCATAGATTAATTTGAAAAACCCTTAAACTATAAATACCTTATAATGCTGGCTACGGCTCATAGTGTTGTTTCTGGTGTTACTTATTCTGCATTGACAATATAGTTAAAAATTACAGTATATATAGTCAAAAGGTGAACTGTCAAACTGGCCAGAACCAGATAAAACAACTATTAAGAAAAGTAATTTGTCCAATAGCCAGTGGTGAGTAAATATCAAAGATCCTAGATAGAGTATTTGGATTCATTGAACCATATAATACAAATATATGTTCAATATAGTAAGATCATTATAATATAGAGTAAATAGATATAAACGAAGTAAAAAGTTGGGAATAATATCAAATAGATAATTTGTATATAAATGAACTTGTCCACATTAAAATCGGCGTCAGTAAGACGTTTGCCTGCATTCAAATACGATATTCAATTAATCGCTTGAATGATCAAGATTGATAATGGTAAAATCAAGAGAGATATCGAAATAAAAACGTATGTTATCAATGGATAACTCATGAGAAACCAAAATTAAAAAGGTTTTAGGAGGCAATTTTTTAAATTGCATGTCAATAAATTAAATGAAACTGAATGAAATGAAAGACCAAAAGTAAATGATTTCTTTACCAGCAAAAAGACAGAATCATTGGAACCATTTACAGGTAAAACTTTTTATTTGAAGTTATTAAATTTCAAAGAAGCCTTTAATAGAAGGTCTGTACAGTCTCATGTTTATATAAATGAGGCCTGCCCAAGCTTGCCTTCTATGCCCTTTTTATAATGTAACAAGTTTTTCATTTATTATTACCACCCTTTAACTCTTGGGGAGGGAATGGGGGTTGAAAATAGTGCCAAGGCTAGGAGGGGTGCTGCCCATTTTTTTTTTTTACCTTTTCTCTTCAGTTTGTAGTATATTTGTTGTGGATGGGGCCATCAAAGAAGCCTAGGATAGGAGGAAGGCTTCCCATTTTTTATTTATAGTTGGGACCTTTCCCCTCAAGTTTTCTGAAAAAGTAGGTAGGAGGGTAAATGCCAAGGCTAGGGAAAAGGCTCTCTTTAATTTTTCAGTTATAATTTTCCCCTTGCTGATCATTAGCCCACTCGTTGAAAAAAGTACCAATGTTAGGATGGGTCCTGCCTCAGTTTGAATTTTTTTTACATTAACCAAACCTATCTCAAATAGAAGCCTTTGTTAGATGTGCTGGCTAAGAAGGGGTGGATATTTTCCCACTTCAGCATATATGTCCTTTCCCAGGTTTGCATGTTTTTATTGAAATATAGAACACATGAAAATAATAATTTCTTTTCTGGATCAAAACTGAAATTGTCAGATTTTGCAGATGACATATATACATGTAGGTCTTTACATAAATAGGTGAAGATGTGGTATGAGACAACTCTCCATCCAAGTCACAATTTGTAAAAGTAAACCATTATAGGTCAAAGTAAGGCCTTCAACACGGAGTCTTGGTATTAGTAGTTTATGCTGACCCTCCGTTGCTTTCTTACTTTTTGCGAAATCTTGCAATACAATAACAAGATTATTTTTATTTGTCTTATTTTAATACGCAATATCACAAGATTGACCTTACAAGCTAAAAAAAAAGACAACATTCCTATGAAACCCCATTTTTTATGCACTTGTAAATAGTGTGAAAATGCCTCAGAGTGCACCATTTTCAATGTAAGGTCAAAAAAATTTTCGGGGGGGGCAAGCCCCCCCTGACCCCCTTCCCCTTTTTGGGTCAGCCACTTCAAATTAGTAAACAGCCTGTTCATTGAAAAGTTATTGAAAGCCCTGGGCACCTACGATAGGATATAGTGCAGATCTGTAGTAAAGTGACCGACAGGCTCCTATGACAGGCTATGGTGCAGATCATAAGTGAAATGACCTACAGGCGCCTATGATAACTGCGAGTACTCTCAGATCTGTACTGATTGGTTTTTTTGTTGTTATTTGCATGTACAAGTACCCTTCCACGTCCACTTTGTGTTTTTGTTAGATCATGATGTATTTCTATTTGTATCCATCTGATGAGTTAAGGGCATACGATACGTTTACAGGGGAGGTAATGACGTTTCTAACGCAAAATGTTATTTTCGCGACGTCAAACTGTGACATATCGGGAAAAGATACATTTGTCTACTGTTTTTTGTGATTTAAACTGATTTAACCTGAAAACGAGTACATGGACCCCTCTTTTGTTTAAAATGGCATTATTAATTAGGTTTGATTACGTATGAAGATAATTTGTACCAATTTTAATGAAAAAGTCAACATTGACATTTTTTTAATTTGATTAATAAACTGCAGAACTGCAAAAGAAGATTTTCATAATGTTTCTATAAAAATCCGCTTGTGTTTATCTGTTGAAATAAAAAAGTTAGGTGTGTCTATCCAAAGGATGGAAATGTAAAAAAAACGAAATTTTGAATAAAAGTCTAAAATTTCTACCTCTGTTATCTCTTAAAGTAGCACATGAAGGTATATTTGAACTGCTAAGATGAAAAATAGCTTGTATGCAAATTTTCGTAAAAAAATCATCATGGGATCGAAACTGTATCGTAGGCCTTTAAGCCTTTTTCAACTAAGTTGTATAGTCTGTTCTTATGTTGTACTGTTACACCACTGTCCCAGGTTAGGGGAGGGTTGGCGCCTTCCAACTAATTCTGTATGTGCCTTTCCCAAGTCAGGAACCGGTAATCCAGTGGTTGTCATTTGTTGCTGTGTTACATATTTGTTTTTCGTTTGAATTGTTTTACATTTGTCATTTTCAGAGACGGATTTAGGGGGGGGGGGGGGGGGCTCCTTTTTGGGGAAAATTTGGTTGATTATATAGGGAATCACTGAAGCATGACTAGAGCGGGCCCCCTCTTAGGCAGTCAGTGGGCCCCCACTTATGAAAATTTCTGGATCCGCCACTGATTTTAGAGCCTTTTATAGCTGACTATGCGGTATGGGCTTTGCTCATTGTTAAAGGTCGTAAGGGGACCTATAATTGTTAATGTCTGTGGCATTGGGTCTATTGTGGAGAGTTGTCTCATTGACAATTATACCACATCTTCCTTTTATATATATGGTTCAAATCTATAGTGATGTACCCTGCAGGCACCTACCATACATATATGTAAATGAAAGTGTGACCTGCAGGCACCTTTAATAGCATATGGTGCAGATCTATGGAGATGTGACATGCAGGCACATATTATAGGCTATGGTACAGATAATTAGCATTGTGACCTGCAGACTCAAACGATAGGCTATGTTACAGATATTAAGTGATGTGATTTGCAGGCATCTATGATACAGATAAATTTTGGTGTGACCTACAGGCACCTATAGTATTGTTTATGATTATACGCGTAGGTATATGCAGCACTACTTTTTAATAAGTGGTGACTGGCAGTAACCCTTCACATAAGCTTTTTCCTCGTGCATCATAATACATAACAATAAAGTCCGGATCGTATCCGGTTAAGATATGTCAATATTACGGTATGTGACACTATCCATGCCCAAGGGTATCTTACTATACAAATCCTTGCCTATGCCTATGCCAAATATTCTTTATTAAGCTGAGGACAACCCATTCTTTGCAAATTTTGTGGGCGCACGCCCGCCACGGCCCCGCCTAAATCCGCCCCTGGAATTTCTTTATTCATGAAATTTGATACAAACAGAAATTACAATTACAAGACCTAGCAGGTATTTGGCCGAAGTGGTATAGGCCGAAATGGCTCGTCCCTGGGTTCCTGGTTTACTGTCTATACCACCTGTCTTAAAGATAGATTTGGGAAAGGCATCAGATCATAACTAAAGAAAAACAGTAGGAAAGCCAACTTCTAGAACCTTCAAATAATGTCAAACACGAACATATTTTGCCTTTATCAATTCATTATTTTCATAAATTCATTCTGTAGTAAGTTGAAGAGATAGTTATACTTGTCGATTACCAAATGAAGCTTAAAAAAATTACAACATTGGCAGTATTAAACATGTTAAATATATTTTTTTAGCTCATAGTGGGGAGCCTAGTGTTAAAAAGGCCGTTAGTTAACGAGTTTAAGTTAACGGAATAACACACTGATACATTTATTTGCAAATCATAGGAAAATCATGATATTTTACAAAAATGATTGTAGTCGTAAGTTCCTGTGGTCGCGATTTTCTAAATTTTGTGTTTTACATGGTACCCACAGATACCGTATTGTAAGGGGAATCTTAAACATGAAAAATAAAATGATTGGGCTCTTTGTTGGTGGTTGAAATAGTATTTAGAATATAGTTTATATATGAAATATATCATATATAAAGAAAGTGGAAAATATTTAAGTAATAGTAGTAGAAGTATTTCACCATTTTAGTGACTAAAATTTCAACCGAAATATACTGGTCGAGGACCAGTTACCATCAGTTACCAGTTAGTGTCACCTGCCATGTTATTCAATAACTGAGACGTTACATAAAAACAACATATTGCATTGGCGTAGCTTATGTTGAGGCAACCGAGGCAGCTCGGTAAAAAAAAAGAAAAGAAAAAAAAATCCTTTATAATCATAAAAACGATTTCCACTTAATGCAGCAGACTCGCTACTAAACGCTAATATACCGACGTGTATCGTCTATATATATATAATTCTTATATGATTTGCATATTACATGTATTAGGGAATACGTTGATATGATTGGCAGAGAGGACTTCCGGTAGTTGTTCTTGACGTTGTTTATTTTTCGATAGACGGCGTTGACCGAACTTCTTTTTGTAACCAATGTAAACAAGATGGCGACGATAATAACACAATCCGGCTCGACGTTTAAAATATTTATTTTCACTTCGCGTTAATCTTTTAATTAAATAATAAACACAAAATATTCATTTGAATGATATTATGATTTTTTTGTAGTTTATTTTTTTATCAGATAGCAAATTTCATGGAGTACATACTTTTGCTTTAACAAATAAATATACTCATGCGCCAGGCTAATTCAATGACATAATTATACAATTTACGTGTGAAAGAGGTTATGAGTGTGGAAAAATAAATTCCTTGTCTCCAATTTAAAGAATTATAAGGATTAAACGCCTTTTTAAAGGAATTTATTGGTGTATAAACTGGACCAAGTCACTCACAAACATATCATAAAAGTCCTTTTATTTGTTTGTGAGTGAATTGGTCGAGTTTATACACCAATAAATTCCCTTAAAACATGTAAAAAGGCGTTTAATCCTATAATATAGTTGGAAATCTCCTTTGCGGTAGTTTTCTGTAATCTAAATATGTCAGAGTAAAAAAAAAATGACACAATTGAAGCCGACAGCTTTTTTTGATTGAATCCTACCCCGATCGAATCACTTGACCATTGAATCAGGTAAATTATCCAATTTTGTGTGAGAATAATTTCTAGTATATGAGGTTTATAGAAAACAGAAAAATGCCCTGAAATTAATTCTAAAGATATAGATATTTAAAATGGTGCTAAAATATAAAAGAAAGGAAAATACAAATTATGGGCGAAAAGAATTAAAAATAAATATTTGAAGACCCCCATATATAACCGGTAACGTCTAAAATTGAAACATCGTTGTGTGTTGACATTTTCCTCTAAGTGTAGTACTTCAAATACACAAGAGTTTCATTGACTTTTGTACCAATCAAAATAAAATATACATCAATCAACATGTACAGAAAATTATTTATATGTTGCAGTTTTCAAGTTTTATTCTCGCTATTTTAAATTTATAGTTTTTCACTAGCAGGGAATTAAAAATATTTAAAGGAGTCTCTAATTCCAGAGAAATATTTATTATATGTAAGTTAGTTCATACATAATGTCAGTTTATATATAAAGATGTCAACCAAAATATTTTCATTATCATGAAGACTTCAGAATAACGTAAATGTTAGTACTTCGCCGGTTTGTCATTTTCACAATGGGAAAAACTTCAAATCCATTTAAGAATTTGAAGACCTTCCAAGAAATACCAAGACGAAACACAACCAATACAAGTACCGTCGTGCACTTTACATGTAGCATGTGTTTATTTCCTATTTTATCAAAAAGTATTCTGTTCAATCCGTCCGTCGTTTTGTGATAATTATCTATTCGTTGATTCCTGACCCACGACCAAGCGAGTAAATGATCATCACAAAATTATTTTGAATCAACCTTAATCGTTGGGTTTGTTTATCTGCATTGAAAATTCTGTACAAGTTTCTTCTGGCCATCGAACAAGATCCTGTATTCCTTCTGAAATGACGTTAAATCTTATGTCACAGTGAGGTACAGCCACCATATTAGAGTGTACGACGGCTTGGAAATATATCGGCAGATTAGGCATTTGAGCTGGCTTTCAGTTACTGTAACTACTGTTACTGCTAGAAAGTCAGGAAACTTGTCAGTGGTTGGCATCTGTGATAACTTCACGTGTTTTGTTATTTTCATAACTTTGAGTTGACCGTAGATTATATCGCATCGGTTTAAATTATACACTACTTTATATAGACTCAGTCAGGACAATTTTGAACTTTGACACATCCATCTCCTTTATTCGTAAAGAATTTTAAATCTGGGAAGTTCACTGAAAGAATTCGATTTCAAAAAGTGGTAATGCTTTTGAGAAGATTTATGTATTCATCTAAACATTAAAAACGATGCAGGTACCAGTAATTAATTATTAAATTTGTAGTTTAACTTAGTTTAAAGCATACTAACATTATTTTGATGAAATGAATTAAACACCAGCCATTATTTTTAATAGATTCTTTTTGTTCAAATTGTAAAAACCTCGATAGCGTCTGGGGAGCTGCGTCCCCAGACCCCCTGCCTCGGTAATAACAGGAGGCAAGCTACGCCACTGTATTGCTGATATCTTCAGACAAATATTTTTACTTCATTTGTAAAACCTCCATTTTGTTTGATCCGATTAAGATAGGAAAATGCCGAATTTTCTGTAGACTGAACGCGTAGTGGGAAGATTTGCGTGTGTGGACATGACGTCATCGCTCTATGACGTCCTCTTGTATTAGAAAACTTACCGTTTTAAGACAAAGCAATATATAACCTTGCTTTAAATAGAATGTTAGAAGATACAATTTCTTTCAAAAGAATTAAAAAAGATTTATAAATTTCAAAATTAAAGTTTACACGTCTTCAATACAGTGTATGTGGTTGATTTCAAGTGACATAAAGTTCACATTCTGAACAGGAAAGGGGCCTTGCAAATTTTCCAAATTAATGGTCAGAATGATGGATGTGTTTGGTCCAATTGACGTACCTTCTTCTCTTCTTGCTCATGTTGCTACACGAAAGCAAAATACATAATGTCCCGGTTAAATGTAAATTTTATCATTTAATGACAAGATTCAAAAGTGATGGTAACTGGTCATCGTACCTATAAAATTTCCCGCAAAGCAAAAATCGGCATAGTAGTAACTCGTTTTATCGTCGTTTATAAGAGGAATTGAAGTCCGAGTCTATAGTGATAAACCTAACTTTTGGTAACCCTTTTTTTGTTAAAAGAATATTTCCCAACAGAGTTCCTGTTAAAAATTATTTGAGAAAAACTGTGAATTTCTGACGGTAACTGGTTCTTTTGATTAAAGCAATAAAACACAATTCATGTTTGTGCCAAATTTCTTGTGTGTAAAGTAAGTGGTTGTGACCACAAGTTCAGTCCTGTAAGTCAACATTTTTGCATTGATTCAACATGGATTATCTCATGTCCTTAATTGTTTTGTTGCTTACCACTATTTCAAGTAATTAACTAGGACAGTGGTCACTCAATATATTTCTCACTTTTGCTTGTTAAATAGTTGATTTATTTATTTCAAATGGTGTCGATGGTTGTTTAGTTTGGAGGAATATGTTATGTGTCAGTTGTTCATAACTTTAAAATTTTATTGAATTGATTTTTTTTGGTTATAATTTTAGTATAAGAATCAAATTGGTCAGTCTTGTTTCGGACCTAGAATTTGGTGCAATCATTAAGAGAAATTTAGGTATATGTATCAACAACATATAATTTTTTATAAGCCCGTTTACGGGACATATTATGGTATACCGTTGTCCGTCTGTCCATCTGTCCGTCCATCCGTCCGTCGTCAACATGTCGGACATTAACTCAAAAACACTTTAACCAATTTGCATAAAACTTTGGTGAATTGTTTATGTCTATTGACGTGAGCTCACTTTCGTTTTTTTATAAATTTTAGATTTTACGTTTCCGAAATTATGGGGTTTTATTCATTAAAAAAAGGGGGATTTTCCAGACAATAACTCAAGAATGCTTTCACCAACTGGCAAGAAATTGTGGTGAATTGTTTATATCTATTGACATGAGCTCCCTTTCGATTTTTATGTATTTTAGATTTTACGTTTCCAAGTTACAGGGTTTTATTCATAAAAAAAGGGGGATTTTCCAGTTTTCTGACAAAAAATCAAAAATGCTTTCAGCAGTTCGTATGAAACTTTGGTGAATTTTTTATAAATATTGATGTAAGCTCCGTTTAGAATTTTATAAATTTTACATTTTACATTTCTGAGTTATGGGGTTTTATTCATTAAAAAAGGGGTGATTTTCCAGTTTTCGGACAATAACTCAAAAATGCTGTCAGCAATTCTCATGAAACTTTGGTGAATTGTTTATATCTATTGATGTAAGCTCCCTTTACATTTTCATAAATTTCTAATATGACATTGAGAATTAATTGAACTTTATTTGTTTATAGTCTGAAAACAGATTTACTAAGTATTGCACAACAGCAAGAAATCTTTAATTGAAGATAAATTCAATTCATATAACCAATTTCAAGTTCTTTGACTACATTTTTTTGGAAACCTATAATATGTCAAATATTTAATTACAATCCAAATTCAGACCTGTATCAAGCTTGAATATTGTGTCCATTTTTGTCCCAA